AAATAAAATTTAATAGGTGTGCGGGCAGGGAATCCATACAAATATGAAATTCCAAAGACAATGAAGCAACATGAAGCTTTTATGAGCAAGGAGAGAGGTAAGGGTGTGAGGACACAAAGGGGAGGAAGGCCATTTCCCGGTGGGTGAGAGGAGATATTTGGAAAAACAAAGGTTGTGCTAGTATGCAGGTAAGTTTCTTAGGTAAAGGGGAGTCTCTGTTAATAGCTCTCTTCCTGGTGTAGACTCTCCAATATATTTAGGCAGCTGTGGGGGAGGCAGAGAGGATTTCCTGCATCTGTTGGGTTTTGATTACTTTCTTTTTTAAAGATTTTATTTATTTGACAGAGAGAGACACAGCGAGAGAGGGAACACAAGCAGGGGGAGTGGGAGAGGGAGAAGCAGGCTTCCTGCGGAGCACGATACCAGGACCCTGGGATCGTGACCTGCGGGAAGGCAGACGCTTAACGACTGAACCACCCAGGCGCCCCTGGTTTTGATTACTTTTAACTCGAAATAATCTTTGTGCCAAAGTGGCCCATCTTGGGGGCACTGTGCCCTTGGTCCCTACACCCTACCTGTCAGATATGGAAAATTTCATTATTCAACTAAATATACTAAATTTCACTGATCCAAATTCCAAGAAGATACATTTGGATGGCTAAATAAATTTATGCTCTGATGGAAAAATGTGTTTTCATAAGATCAACCGTGAGGATTTCTTAGAACATCTAAATTTTTGGCTAAAATTTTTGGTTTTTATTAGAAGAATAGGTAATGTGAGGACACTGCTTTGTGAAACTATACATTTTCATCTGGCTTTCACTCATTCAAATTATGTCTTATGAACAAACCTGGTTTATGAAAAGGGGTGTTTTTTGAGGACTTCTTTAGGCAGCTTCTCAACAATATGTGGCAATGTTTTTCTTGGCTTGCATGACCCACTCTTACCCCAATGCCAAATTCCTATTTTCAGTCACATACACTTGAATATTGTCTGTCTGTCTTTACTAGTGATCTGTAAATGCTTTTGAATCAATATTACCAACAGTGAAAAGCACACACAAATTTAAATGCATGTTTATTTATGAATTAGAAATCTATTATGCTTGGGGTGCGTGGGTGGCTCAACACTTAAGTGTCTGACTCTTGATTGCAGCTCAGGTCACAATCTCAGGGTCATGAGATCGAGCCCCACATTAGGCTCTTTGTTGAGCTTGGAACCAGCTTAAGATTCTTTGTCTCCATCTCCCTCTGCCCCACCCCGCTCGTGCTCTCTCTCAGTAAAAAAAAAAATCTATTATGCTCTTATATATTATATCATGAACACTATGATGTACAAAGAAGAGAAAGTAAGGAATGAAGCTTAAAAATACATAGAAACAGGAGCTGTCCTGTTTGCCTCCCATGGCAGAAAATATACCTGGCATGGACTTTCTTGCTTATATCCTAGAGATGTGCTCTCTGTTTCAGAGTTCTGGTCTAAAACACCACTTGTTGCTCTTGAGATGCTTCTAATAATCACACCAAGATGACAACTTGTATCCTAAACATTTATATATCACTTTCCAAAATTTACTTAATTTCCTTTAATAATATCAGTTTGAAGAGTATGTTCTTTAATTGATCTTCAAAGGAGTTCAATACAACAATGTGATTGAACTTTCATCCCATTCAGAGCAGGGTTGGCAGGTATGAGAAGGGCATCAGATGGTGAGTGTGCATTGTAGGAGGTGTATCTTTGTGTTCTTGTGAGATTTAGAGCCCAATAGAAAGGCGAGAAGATTCAAGTTGGAGCAATGCCTCCTGCTTTTCCTTGGCAAAATTACCAAAATTAAGTGATAGTACTATCTATAGCGACATGGAACTTCAAAGGGGAAGGTTCTATAAAGTAAACAACTGATATTTCCCAGATGGGATACTTGCCTTTGCTCAATAGCTGACTTTTGCTTCATAGCGACAAGGTACCCAGAAGCAAAAACTGTGTACCCTATTGAACTAAGTGAGGCAATTCTTTTCCCAGGTCCTTAAAAAAAGAACTCAAGATTTTTGTTTTTCCAAAGAATCTTGCAAAAATTACACATTTCCTACCAGCCTTTGCCACATCTGTCTCATCCACACGCTCCTTCCAAAACTGCTCCCTGGGCACAAGGACCTGCCTGGTATTTAAGGACTCTCCTCTAATTTATCTTTCTCAGCATTTGTCACTTTAAGCCCATCACATTCCTTCGCTAATTTTTAGCAAGGCATTATTTCTAGTGCTTTTTATTACTTCCTCTGCAAAATAAAAATAAAATCACAGTAATGGATTTAGCAAGGGGTCCCTACTCATACACACAAGACGTTCTCATTGAACTGCTCTTCTAATAGAGAGTGGCTATGAAGAGATCCATGTGATCTAGCCAGTTTCAAAGTGTTGATCTCAAGGTTAGTTTAAAAAAATAGGTGGGGCGCCTGGGTGGCTCAGTTGATTGAGCCTCCAACCCTTGATTTTTGGCTCAGGTCGTTATCTGAGGGTCATGAGGGCTTGTGAGATGGAGCCCCTCCCTGGACTTCTGCTCAGTGGGGAGTCTGCCTGAGATTCTCTCTCTCCCTCTCCCTCTGCCCCTCCCCCCACTTGGGCACGTGCTCAGTCTCTCCCTCTCTAAATAAATAGAATCTTTTAAAAAAAGGTGTTTTTTTTTTAACCTTCTACAAAACCATAAAGTAAAAATATTTGTTCTTTTTTTCTAAGCCATTTTATACTGTGGTCACAAATACAACATTATTTTAGGATTCCACCCACTTTTTTTTTTTTAATTCATAATCTTTTTTTTTTTTTTTTTTAACCAGACCAGGACTCATACTGGACTGACAGAGTCTGTCAATTTCTTAAAATAACATGTACATTGTATTGTATTACTGAAATCTGTTAGGAGTAGAACTTAAATGTTCTTACTACTCCCCACTCCCTCAAAAGATAAATATGTGAGGGGATGGATATGTTAATGTATTAATTAACTAGACAGTGGGAATCCTTTTATAATGTATACTTAAATCACCATCGTGTACACTTTTAATATCTTATAATTTTATTTTTAATTATATCTCAACAAAGCTGAAAAATAAATAAAATGTATTACTATAAAAAATTATAAATTAAAATTTAAAATAGCATATGCAGTGCAAAGCTGTTGGCCTTAAGCTCCTCACCAAATACCTATATATTCCATAGCTGCTATAAGACCTTGTTAATGATATTTATAAAGTGGTGCAAGAGGCCAAGGTTAACATATCACAAGTCTAAATCTTATCTCACTGTGTCTTACTTTCTCCTATATTAATGTACTTTCCACTTTTACTTAAGCCAACCATACACCTTCAGAGGTTAGAAAAATGGGCATTTTAGAGCAGAAGTTGTTCCTCCTATATGGAGCTACAAATATCTGAGATTCTTCTCTACATTTTGCTAATTAGAAAACAAAAGGATCTCCAGCAGAGTGATGCCCTCTCCCTTTCTGGGGCCTCCATCCCGTACAGAGATGTGTGCACAGGATTTTTGACCAAAAACAAGGCTTCCTTCATGAAAACATCCCCATCTTCAAGGGCAGTGTGGTCTTTGCCAGATTAAACCATAATTAACAAATCAACAGAACAGAAGAACTATCAGCCTTCTCTGAGATTTTATAGAACTGCGCAAAATATTTTTTCTCTGAAAACATTTAAGAACTTTGGGACAAGAAAGAAGAGCGAACAGTCCGAAAGTATAAAACTCTCCTAAAGCTAAATTAGGCTGGTGAGTTTATCCTGTGAAGTTTAAGGGCACATTCCTACTCTAGTGTTTAGCATGTTCTTCTAATACTTGAAATTGGATTTTCTAAAAAAGAATGGTTTAGATTTTCAGGAGCTAGTCAAAATGATCCACGATAGAATGCCATCATGCTTACTTTTACCACCATTATTATAATTTATTTAAAATTGGAATTAGAACAATAATGATAATTTGGATAATATAAATGGTAAAGAGAATTAAAATAGCAGGAAGTTAAGACCCAAAAGATACAACAATAAAGCAAACTGCAATTGTAATAACATGTAGAAAAGGAAATATCAAAAAAAACATGAATAAAAGTGTGGACACTGGTTAACGTAAAAAAATACTGTCCTGAGAACTGAAAATTAAATAAGGTAAATATCTTAGAAAAAAGAAGGTCTTAAGTAGCTTAGAACATCTTCTGAAGTTTGCAGGTGTTTTTAAAACTGAGACATGAAAAAGCCCAAGTAAAAAGAGCAAAGATAAACTCGAATTTGTCTAACAGTAAAAGAAAAATAAATACATAAAAAATAAAAATGAGAGGCAGACTGTCTGGTTTCTGAAATTAGCAGGGGAATATAAGATTTTGAACAAACAGCAACTTAAATTTCTTTCCTAGAATGAAAATAAATGTTCAACTGCACCCTTCTGCCTACCTCCACTGTCCCAGAATGACTTTTCTTTTGTCTCTCTGTCCCTGTTACGGATTAAATGGTCTTCCAAAATGGTATGCTCAAGTCCTAATTCCCAGTACCTCAGAACATCTGAAGATGAAATTAGTTCATCTGAATTCATACTGGAGTAGAGTGGGGGCTTTTCGTCCAGTATAACTGGTGTCCTTATAAGAAAAGGGAAATGTGGACACAGCAACAGAGACACAGAGATAAGGAACGCCATGTGATGTCGTAAGCAGGGACTGGAGTAATGGAGCAGGACGGGCAGGGACGGATGGCCTCCTCCACAAGCTGGAATTGGCAAGGAGGGATGCCACTTAGAGTCTCAGAGGGACCATGTTCCTCCTGTCCCCTTGATTTTGAAATTCTGTGAGGCAATGAATTTCTCTTGTTTAAAGCCACCCAGTTTTGGGGCACATCGCTCATGACAGCAGGCCTGGGAAACTATGACAGACATTTGTGCTGCAAACCCGAGTGAAAAGTCTAACTAAAGGACACGGGTTAGGCAAGTAGGGTCGGTGCCAGGTAAAACTTACCTGCAACGTAGTCGCCAAATCCAATGGTTGTTAAAGTGATGACCACAAAATAAATGGCATCCAGGGCACTCCAACCTTCTATGTGCTTGAATATGATTGCAGGCAGGGCAACAAAGAGTACGCAGCCAAACAGTATAAATATGATTGTTGAGATGATGCGAATCTTGGTCTGACTAACATTCCACTTCTAAGGATGAGAGTGAAGAGAGCGAGAGAGAGACACTGACTGAGGTTTATTGATTATTGGCGTACCTACAAAGCTCACCTTAAACACCATTCTCAGCAAATTAGCAAGTGCGGATGTTATTTTTTTCCCTTTTATAATTAATGTTCAATTGTCTTATAAAAATTGGGTATAGCAGAAAGAACTCAAAACAATCAATGCCAATGATGATGCTACTTTACCCTTACATAGCTTTACAACAGGCAAAATGCTTTCAAAATAAATTACATTTGCTCTGAGAATGCCATTTCAGAGGTACATCACTCTTTATTTACCTGAATAACTTTTGAAATATTTCTCTTCTATAGGCATACTACTGATGGCAGGCCAAACGTACTCTGGAAATATATGAAAATACACAAAACGGAACCACGGACTAAATAGTTGGTATTGATATTCATGACCACTGGAACGTATTCACCACCAGGGTACGGGATGCGTTTTATGCACCGATATAGATGCAGCATGGAAAACATTACCTGGCATCCAGTGGGCACCCAGAAATTTGTTGAAAAAAAAAAAAAAACAAATGAATAAACAAACAAAAAGCAGAATCAGAAGTATAAATGTAGAGAACAAACTGATGGTTGCCCGAGGGGAGGGAAAGGGGGAGAGCGGGGGAATCGGACACAATGAGTGAAGGGGAGAGGGAGATACAGGCCTCCGGTTATGGAATGAGTAAGTCAAGGGAATGAAAGGCACAACGTAAGAAAAACAGTCAATGATATTGTAATAGCAATGCAATGAGGCAAATGGTAGCTACACTTGCGGTGAGCATAGCATAATGCATAAACTTGTCAAGTCACTAAGTCGTACACCTGAAACTAATGTAACATTGTGTGTCAACTCTACTCAAATTAAAAAAAAAAATTAAGCAAAAAAAATTTGTTGAATGAATGCATAATTCAGCATTACCACGTGGATGCCACTAATCTTCCCTCTTAATGAATAAAAATACAAGATACTTTTAAGATCAATATAAGAAAAGTATATTACCCAGAACAGGATGAAACTCCTATTTTAGAATAATCATACCTACTCCATTCCAACTGTAGAAGTATCTGAGTGAATTTGGAACTTAAAACATAACTAATGCTAAAAACTGGAACTATAAATTGAAAACCAATACTCAGTAGTCTTATTTTATCAGTAGAATTACATGTAAAATACTTTGTTGAAATGTTTGTGAAAAGATGAAAAGACTATTGAAGAGCAGGTAAAATGTATTTGTAATATAGGTGATGGTAGTAACATATCCTTTATAATCCTACCCTCTCATGCAACTATTTTCTTGGTAATTTTCTCCAGGAATAAAAGCTTATAATCATAGTGGTATTATTACTACTTTTCATTTACCATTCTGATAAAAGCATTTTCATTATACTTATTTTTTTCTATTGAGGATAATATAGCCATGAACATCTTCATGTATATTACTTCTGGTTCTACTGAATTATATCCCTTGGATAAGTTTCTATCAATGTCATCACTGAATTAAGTTATATGATCACCTTTATTGTGTTTGCTAAATAGGATGTCCTTCACAAAAAGGCTATATAAATTTAGAATGCCACCAGCAATGGACAAAGGTACCAAAGCAAATTTTAAATTAGAAAGAATTGTCAGTTATTTACTAGCTATGTTAAGCTTTTATTTATTTATTTTAGATTTTATTTACTTATTTGAGAGAGAGAGAGAGAGAGAAAGAGTGCATGCACATAAGCGGGGGTGGGGTGGGGAGGGAGAAGGGAAGGGAGAGGAAGAGGGAGAGAATCTTAAGCAGATTCTGTCCTGAGGGAGGAGCCCAACTAGGGGCTCCATCACACGACCCTGAGATCATGACCTGAGCCAAAACCAAGAGTCGGATGCTTAACTGACCGAGCCACCCAGGTGCCCCAAGCTTTTATTTATTATCTCTAACTCTCAAAGTGACGTCTCCATTGCCAGTACCATTATTCACATTATATAAATGACAAAATGGAGATTTCAGGGTAAAATAACTAGCTTAAGAGAATACAGCAAGACAAGATGTCTGGAATTGGAACCCAGGATTGTCAGATTTCTTATTTCTGCATATTTTTGGATTTTTCCCATGTACTAATTTATTCATTCAAATTAAGTATAAAATTAACTATGAAGTGAGTTACATGCTAATAAAGGTGCATATAAAAGTTTATGGAAAACCCAATAGCTTGATTAACCGTACTTGAGGTGATAGTTTTATTAAAAAAAATTAAACAACATATGTAGTTAAAAGGCTGTTATACTTACAATAAACGTATCTTCCACTTTTGCAATTCCTTTTCCAAATATGGTCCCTAGTTGATCACCAACTCCAGCCAACAAAAAACCAAAAAGGGGAATTCCCAGTAAGGCATAGATGATACAGAATATTTTCCCCCCTTCTGTGCGCGGTGAGATATTTCCAAATCCTAGATACAAAAAAAAAAAAAATTGTTTTCGGTTGTTTATAAACGAGTAATAGTTTAAAACATATGACCTTGTTAAAAAGAAAACAAAGAAAACTGAAAGAGGGCTTGGGCTGTCTCCATTTTGATCTCAAACTTTCCGCTTGGGTGGCACAGGCAGGAGACAGACACTACCCCCTCAAGCCATAAAGTCTGCCCGGAACCAGCAAGACCCTGCCCGTAACTGACTCCAAGACAATGATGGATTTAACCTTCAGCACGTGCCCACCCACTTTGCCCCACGTTTTCCCATGTAAACCTGAAAGTATTATTGGCTTTTTGGACACAGTATTTGAGACGCTAGTCCACTGTCTTCCCGGTGTTGGCCTCACTGAAATAAATTCCTTTCTGGTTTCACCACCATTCATTTCTCTGCCTTCAGATTCTGTCAGCAGCGAGTGTCTGAACATGGTCTGTTTGGGGCCCCTGGAGCCAGGTGCTCTTGCTCCCCTATGCCCCAGCTACAAAACCACAGGCCCAAAATGGCACCACTTAGGCTGAATCCCCAAACTGGGGATTAATAGCTCATCTAACTGCAGTTTCAACTTCACCCATTAATGTAGTCTTAGTCTTAACCTTAACTAGTCAGGAATTTTCCTATCAGAGGCAAAGTGTCTGCCACATTGGCCCTCTCCATCACTCCCTCCCCCAAAGGAAGATGAGGTGATCTGCCTGATAAGACCTCCTATTCTTCCCTCTCAGGGATAGCTACCTTGCCTGGAAAATTCTTTTCTTTTGTTAGTAACTTTCTTGCCCCCACCCTTATTCTATAAAAACTTTGCGTGTTGTACAATTCCTCAGAGGTCCCCTCTGCTTGTTAGATGGGATGCTGCCTGATTCATGAATCATTTAATAAAGCCAGTTAGATTCTCAAATTTACTCAGTTAACTTTTGTTTTTTTAACAACCTCAAGGGTAATTCAGATATTCCCCAATATTAAAAGATATTAATCACAGATTTCAACTAGTTAAGAATTCCTCTTAAATAGATTTTAATATACAATACTTCAATAAGCAAACATTTCAATAATCTACAAAGTACAGCTAATGTTCCAATTAAAATAGATGATGAAAACCAAGGGGGTAACATATGCAATAAAGCCAATATTTTAATTAAATTTCCTTCTGTCTCTCTATACTGATAATACTGTTAACTACAGAGCTTTCATTGTCATTTATTGAGAAGAGCATACTGCCTTGACTTAAGGGAATTCAAATATGCTAAAGTTATTTAAAGATTAAAGTTTAATAACAACTTTTAAAATAATCCTGTTTTCATTCAAGCACGTACCAAAAAGTAAAAACCAAAACCTTGAAATTATTAAACTATTTTTACATTCTGAGGATTTCGAAGGTCTAGGGAAGCAAATTTTGCCACCCCAAGATATGTCTCTTTGGCATACTGATCATTTTAAGGCGGTTATTTTTAAGAAACTGTGGACACATGAGACACTCTGAAAACTGAATACAGGGCACCCTTTTGCAGGAGACATTTACAGGTAGAAGGGAGAGAAGGGTGTCCCCCTCAGTACCAGGGAGGTGGGGAGGTGACTAAATCTCTAGAAAATGTTATCTGTGGAGAATGCATGGACTGAAATCTGCCTAGCAACTTTACTCTTCTTCACTGTGCTTTCCCTCCCAAACTGAAAAATTGTAGTCACAGTTTTATTCTGGAGGCGGACTGGAAACAGCTCTTACACAAGTTAAGATTAGTGGTTCCACAGAACTTTGATTAATTTACAGGCTATCGGCCATGGGCTCACTTCTGCTTCTAATTTTGGTGTTTTTAGGAGGTTCCGTTAGAAAAAAATTTCTTTTTAGAATCCTGTTTTGCTTGTACCTGGGATGTGGGCTCCTTAATTCAAATTTCATTGTCATCTGAATCCATACTCTTCATATCATCCCCAAATCCATTCCTGTTGTGGTTCCCTCAACACCCTCCCTGCCTTCAACACACTGTGGACTCCTCATCCCCCCATTATTTTCATGTTTTGTCATCTCAATGCAACTTTTCAGTGAGGTGAGGAACATGCATGTTTATATCATACAGCTTATAAAGTAAATTCATGTTTGTATCAGATGGAATTAGATGTTTGGATTTACCAATGTCTTTTAGCATGTTAAATACTGATCATCTAATAAAAAGACCACAGATATATAGTAATGTATGCAAACATCATGGCTTTTAAAAGCATTTACTTTAAAGTCTAAAATTAACTGATTGAAAGAACTATAAGGAAAGGGACGCCTTGGTGACTCAATTCGGTTAAGCATCTGCCTTCAGCTCAGGTCATGATCTCAGGGTCCTGGGATCAAGCCTGCATCAGGCTTCCTGCTCAGTGGGGAGTCTGCTTCTCTCTCTCCCTTTGTTCCTTCCCCCTGTTTGTGCTCTCTTGCAAATAAATAAATAAATAAAAATAAGGATAAATACTCTGTAAGAGTTTGGCAATATATCACAACCATTCCTGGATTCATGACTCAAGAGATATGTGGCCTTCAGTAAATTATATCCTCATTTGGTAAAGGGTATATTGCTATTATTATCTACCCTCATTGAGTTAAGTATCACATGAAAGGTGCTCAGGAAATTTTTCATATTGTATGTGCTCAATATATTTAGGTGCTATAATCATTATTATTATAATTACCATTAATCATACTATTGGTAGTAGTAAAGATTAGCAGATCAATGTATTTAGCCCAGTCAGTATGCAAACTATTTAATAGCCAGATTAATGGGGTCATGATTACACAGTGTTTTCCACTATGTTTTATCAAATTGTGGATGCCATTCTTTAGAAGGAGCACTGGCAAAATAGCATGCATAGAGGAAGGCAACTTTTCACATATGACATCTACACATTTAACTCATTTGCCTCCCATCTGTTCCTATCTACTAATGCCTTGGAGTGCTGAACACCAGAACAATATGTGCAAAGGATACATCCAGGGAAAGTGTGAAAAGGGCCCAGAAATCTTGTATGAAGGTAATTTTAAGGGAAAAATTTTAAGCTGAACTATTTGGGATAGTGCACTATTTCTGAATGCTATCCAAGAATGGAACTCAACAATCTCAACTCCTGTTCTGTATTCTAACATCAATAAGCAGAGTAGCAAGAACAAGAAGGCTATGCTAAGTCAGCAGGGTGGACTGTTTTGACATAGGTTCTTTGATTATTCCAGACAATCTTGCTAAGATCCAACAATGTTCTTTATTGCCTCTCCAGATGAATAACTACGTGGTCTGAGGTAGGGCTGAATTCTGAGTCATCCTATTCCATCCCATTTTCTCTTTTTGATTAAGGGGACAAAGGTCCTCAGAGTTATATCCATAAGAAGTAACCTACCACCAGGAAGGACCAGAGATGAAAAATAAGGGATACTGTTAGTGAGCCCTCTTGTTCAACTGTAGACTCCAACAGTTAAAACCAGAAATAGACAAGACAGCTTAACTCATGCTCTAACTAAAGTCCATTGGGCTTATTTCTTACCACACTTTTTAAACATTCTAACCACCAGACCACAAAGCCCTGATAGCAATGGAATGCCTAGAAGACTTCACCCCACAGGACCCCTTCCCTGCCCGTGACCATGGGCTGAACACCTACTAACCCCCGCCCATGATCACGCACTCTCAGCCTGCTCTCTTTCATGTAACCCCTTGCCCCTAATCTTTCCTTATAAAATTCTAGGTGTCCATCTTACCAGTGGAGAGGTCACTTGTTAAGACTTGAACCTGCCACCTCCTCCAGCTGCTGGCACCCGAAATAAATTTCTACCTTTCTCTTTTCCAAACCCTCATCATTTGAGTTATTGGCTTCTCTTATGATGACTTTATCTGAGTTTCTTGGGCAACAGTGTTGACAAACCCAGTGAGGAGCTTTGCTTTGGATTTGTCCAGGCCCCTCGGGATTCCCTGGGACAGAGCAGTTGCCCAGGGCAGCACACCAGAGCTCACCCATTCATTTCCCAAGTTAGCAGCTGTGATAGATTGATAGATAATAATACAACTTTTTTTTTAATTCTGTGACATTGCTATAAATAGGCTCTAATGTTCAAAAAATAAAAGTCTAGCTGTCAGAGAGCTCAATTTGATCTGCTCCATGCAAGTTAAATGGGCATAAGAAACAAAGGCTCCAAATTTTCATCCATCATTGACTCAGAATCAGCCTAGAGGCCACTGGAACATCTTCAGAAAAGCGGACAGAGGATTTCCTCAGAAAGCCTGTTTACATCACCAATGCAATGACCCAAGATCCAAAGAGAATTCACAATCTAAGGAAAGTCAATCTACCTTTCATTGATCAAAAAATTGGAGACCGGTGCTTTCTGGCATCTTTGTACTTCATTTTTACTACCTCCAAGTCAAAGTTAGCAGAAGAGAGACCAAGGGGAGTAGGAATGAAGGATCCTGATAGGACTCTTCTCTGAGTGTCTTCTGTTTTGCCTTCCAAATATGTCTTTCATTACCATTATACTGAGCTTTATGATGAATCTGTGCCTCCTAGGTGACATCCTTCACACACTGACCACTTCCTATGGACAGACACACACAGTGACCCAACAGTTTTCTGACATAACGGGAATGCCTACAACTCCCCACACATTTTCCTGGGTGAGAGACTGAAATGGCTGTTCAGAGGATGGTTCCTCATGCTTTCTTCCCTCTCTTCCTGTGTAAATTAAGAGGAGACTTTTCTCCACAGATTTACCACATATTTTAACCAAAGAGTGGGCACTGGTTAAATAACTTGATACTATCCGTGGATTTATGAAAGGTATCCATTGATTCTAAGCAGTATGCTAAGCTTTTAAAATATTAATCCTTGTGATTGTCTGAATTTCTTGACTCTTTCCCTGGTCAGTTAGCAGCATCTTCATTGCCTCAGGGCAATTATTCAGTTGATTATTACAGCAAGAAGAAAAGGGAAAAGAAACAGTATTAAGTTTTGTTTTCTTTTAACT